ACCACCCAGACAGCAATGTCCAAATCTAGAGGGCTGGAGAGACTCTCAAGGGCAACTGTTCTTTCCATACACTTCTGAGGATCTCCTCCAGGTCCTTCAGGTGAGTGACTTACTGGTTAAATTGATGACAGCCTTAACTAAGCACCAGCTCAAGTTTTCCCCTGCTGACCCAGGAAGGCGTTTCTTTTTGGTTTTCATGATTTGGAAAGTGCCCCAGGATGTTTAAGGACAAGTCAAACTCATTCAAAGCTAAGTTGGTCCAGATTCCCACCCAGAAGCCTGTTTAGAAATATTGGAGAGCTTCCTGCAACATCATCAGGCAACATTCCTGGATGCAGCCCAATCTAGATGCCACGTCTGGGGGAGGCCTCTGTCTCTCCTAGGTGCCTGTGTAGGGAGCTTCCCAGAGGCTTTTTGACAGTATGGACAGACCAGACAACAGCCAGCTCATTTCCACCCCCATCTCACCACATACAGCCCGGAGGGCTCCTGCAGTGGCCTCTGCTGTCTCTGTCTACTAGGCTACACCCCTCTTCCCGTATTGCTGTGGGGACCCTGTCCTTGTCACATTGGATGCCATTTGGTGGGACTATCAGTCAAGGCTCTGGGGTGGGAGGCAGGGGGCTGGGTGACCTGAGCTAGGCCAGTCAGATACCTTCTCCTTGGGATCCAAATTTTGAGCTAAGGGATGGAAAATGGTGTGACAGCATCCTAAGGAGACCATCGACTGAGAACCTGAAAGCAGCCCCAGTTTCTGTCCCTCCTGAGGCTGGATGTTCAGATTTCTCCTTGATTCTGTTGGTTACCCTTATGTTTCCATTGAAATTCTGATTACAGTAGGCAAAGCTAATTTCTTCTGATTGCAACTGAAGAATCCTGAGGGCCATCACTCATAGTGAGGGGTGTGTGTGTGTGTGTGTGTGTGTGCGTGTTCTGCCCTGGAAGTACAGCCTGGGTCTGTGTATTTTCACAGTCAGTCATACAACAAACGTATATTCAGTTTACCGCACATACTTCTTTCACTAACATCTTGGCCACTGAGCTAGTCTGGAAAACAGAAACGGGAGTGAGTCAATAATTTGTTTCAGAGCTGTGCTGTGTATGTTTGTGTGTTTAGCCAGGGGGAAAATCTCACAAACTTACTACAGCATGTTTAGTGGACACCTTTTGGGTTATGAGCCCAGTCCTAAACTGGTGGTGGTGGTTGGTGGGGGGCGGGGGGGGGCTGTTTCTCCTGCATGCTCCCGCCTGCCTGGCAACAACTGATTGGGCCACAGGGCAATGCTGATCTAGTTTAGGCCAATCATATATTTCTCCTTGGAACTTGGAATGGAGAGGGAACCTGAGGGGGTGGGAGGGATGGAGAGGAGGAGGGGAGGGGAGAAGGGGCCTGAGGAGAGAGTCGGTTTTTCCAC